GATACATTACATAAAGGTAATTGATAGATAGTAGTAAAGCAAAACTTTGTGTCAAAAATATTCGTCAGTTGACTTACGTAGTGAAGGATTAGGTTTAACGGAAAATTCTTCATTCATAAGTTGTTTATGACTCCTTGCCTTTTTAATGCAACAAGCAACAGATAATACTATTGCCAACACTACCAGCAACAGTAATAAAATACTGATCATTCCTGGTATCAAGGCAGATGTTAGCTGATTTGAGGCAGATGGTGTGCCACTGGCAGGTATCAGAGGTGTGGATCTAGTTGTTTGGATAGTTGTAGAAAGTTGGACAGGTGTAGTAGATGTATTGATGACTAGAAGTAATAAAATAACACTTATGAAATCAATAAATACTCTATATAGTACAGTCACAATACTACAAACAACAACACATTTATGTTGATTACTCTGTCTCCAATATGTATACATAGTTTAATAGTTTACCTTCTGTTGTTGTTTTAGTTGGTTGAGGTACTTTGATACCACCATCAGAACAACAGTCACTAGTGAGATTCAAATAATCAATCATTTCATCTGTATTATTACAAACTGGTAGCTTAATTCCTTCATCATATCTATATTCTAGTTCAACTTGATTCGAATCAAGAAATTTAACAACAAATGACCAAATATCAGGACACACTGTTACTGACATGTACGAGCAGACATTAGAGCAAATAGGTAAAGGAACATGCAGTGTGCCATTAGAACCACAAGGCAAGTAATAATGAGTACACATTATTTTAATGGAAAGATCTCGGCAGTGTTCTGGTATTTGGGATAAAAATGCATTTGCCTCTAAAACAAATCGTCTCAAAACTTGCTGAGAGCCTCTAAGACGTCTGTGAGGAATGTAAACATAGTCAATCTCAGGATCATATAAATGGTCACAGATAGAAGTGTAAGATTCATCTTTGTAATAAGCTTCACAGATCCCATTTGAACTATGATAGATTTAAACACAATAGTTTTAAATAGTATGCATATTAGCTGACAGCATCATAAAATAAATAAACTAACAGAAATTGTATCATAATTACGAGTAGGCTACAATTTTAGGAACCTTACCTCATTGCAGACCATAACTGATTATCACTTTCAGTATTGCAGAGTGCATTATCTTAAGTAAACAATTGTAACAGCAAATCCAATCAACCAAAACTGTACCTATTTTAAAGCATTGGACACTGACACCATTAGAACGACTACAGTTATGAGATGACCCAATGGTTGAGTGATTGCACTGCAGTATGTTATCCTCTGATCCCAAACAAACAACTTCATCTAGAAATATTGATCTATTCACAGCACCAAAATACTTTTCATTGAAATATTGAGCACCTATATTGTCAAGTGTCAAATCAGGCATACATTTACTAAGAATATGATCCTACCAATAGTAGAGTATCCTAGTTGCCTGCAGATCACCTCAGCATTAGTGTGAGTCCATCCATCATCACACACAGTGCCCCATTCATTGTTAATACAAATCTCCAATCTTCCTATATTAGTTCTATTTCCATTCACTAATTGTAGGTCACCAAAAATACAACCTATATATATATAATAAAGAAAGGAAGCTGTTTTAATTTTGCTCTACAGTCTACACCTCATCTTACCACGAGCAGGTAGTAAATTCCAAGTTAAAATAGATAAAAGCAGAAACATAGCTAGCAGTACATGCAGTAGACTGTAAACTAGAAGACCATCAACATAAGCAGTCGGGCAGCCAAGCAACCGGAAGTCCATATAAATTGTGTATAAACCTATTTCTCGTTCATTGAGCAACTGCGTGGGTGGTAGCGTACATAGATACATGGAACTTGGATAGAATCAGAGAACTATCACAGCAATGGACTTGCCACAATGAGAGATAAAGTGCTTGATCAATAGAGCACATCATTTAT